GTACAACTGCAAAACTCAAGCCAAGAAAAATAGCACATCCTTTCTGACAGCGAAACATCTGTGTCTGCTACAGATGCATGGGAGTATCACCACCTGCAATTTCCCCTCCAACAAATGTACCATTCTGACTAGGAATTATATTGCCGTTTCTTTAATGTCACTGAATCAAAATCCAAGAACACCAGTAACCCTTTGGGTTTCCCTACATCAATTTGACTGCAGCAGTGTACACAGTCAATTTAATTGCCTACCTACAGTGGGTAACAAACGTATTAAACCCAATCAATCAGAAATTATTTGCTTCACAGTTGCCGAATTTCTTTCAAACTTCTTTTCCAATTGATTCAATGGAGATTTATATACCTTTCCCAAATTAGCTTCTTCTCTGAATCCCTTTCAGAACACTATGGATGAATTTTCCCATTTTCTCAGGGAGATTTTTGGAGGGTTTCCCACCACGGCCCATGGAGACTTTTCTCATGAAATCTTCTGCTGCTCACCATGTTATTTATCCATTTGAGCACCATTGCTCAATTCTGTGACAGGAGAGGCAGATGTCCTCACTGCTGCAGTGACATTCTGGTGTTCAAGGCAGAGTGGGCAAATTTCAACCCCAGCTGAGCACCACTTTGAGCCCTGTAAACTAGGCACTGCCCGTTCCATTGTGATGCACAATCATAACCACTAAGGATGTGTTGCTGAAATGGAAGCTGGCATCCCGTTTCAATGATAGGGACCTGGAGGCACTGGTGGACATGGTAGTGAAGGAAGGACCATCCTTTTCCTGGGAACCAGCAAAGGAGGCAACCAGACCCAGCCAGGCTGGAGATAACGGCCCAGGTCAAGCAGTCCCACAAGAAGGTGATTGAGCCTCACTCCACAAAGATAAGTGCCACTGCATACTCACTCTAACTCTAACTGCATACACCTCCCAACGAGGAAAATGGTCTACCACTCTCACTTTTGCTTGCAGCTTCCCCAGTCAATAGCTCTCACACAATTCATTCACGCAAACTACTTCCTGTCCTCTGTGCTTCCTACCCACTTGCTTGGGACATCTTACTATGTCATCTGTTCCTGCCATTTTCATCTCAATTAATCCCTCCTTGTGTCTCACTGAAGGAGAAAAAGTCACACAACAGGGACCATGAGGCCACAGGCAGACAGCAGGGTGGCATATCACCATAAGAAATAGGATCGGGAGGAGGCCACTCGGCCCCTTGTGCTTGCTACACCATTCAATAGGATCATAGCCAATCTGACATTCCTCACTTCCACTTTCCTGCATTTTTTCTATAACCCTTGATTCCCTGACTGATCGAGAAACTGTCTCATCCTTAATTTATGTGAGGGGAAATAGCAGAAGAAGACCATAGCTACTCAAGTGAGGACACCAAGACTTCCTTGTCCAGGGAACCCAGTTTGCTTTATTGTGCTGTGTTGCACCACCCTCCCATTATCACTATGTTATGTTATTCTTAATATGCTCAAGCTGCTACACCTATTGCAGAACTAATGGTCTTTTCTGTTACACAGGCACCAACAGCACCCTTATAACCTTCACCCTAAAGAAACCAGCTTCTCACCCCATCAGCACCTCCTCTGAGGAAAAGGTCACAGTTCGTCAGAGGAATCACCAGCAAAGCTGCCTTCTGCCCACTCCACCAGCTCAGTGACTTTTACCTTGGTGGGTTCTCTTTGTAGAGAGACAACCTCGTAGCCATATCACCATACCACAGCTGGTCAAGGACGAAATGCCCCTAATCCCTGGCACTCTGAGGAACTGCCAGAGTCCAGGTACCTGCTGAACTCCAGGTAGAACATAACCCCCGGTAGAACATAATGCTGAGCATTAATGACTTTGCGCAAATGCATAGACGCAGGTAAAGCAGGCAAGTTAGAAATCTAATAAAAACAAGCTGCAATCCATGTAGCACAGTCCTAAAATCTCTAGTGCTTCTGAGGTGTAGGTGGAAGTGAAAAACCACAATTGGAAATTTGTACCTTGAGAGGAGTTAGAATGTGTAGCTTGCTACCACAAGGATTAGATGAGGCAAACGGCTTTTGGTGAACAAAGGATAAATAAAAAGGAATACCAAAGATTTGCCGATGGAATTTGATGAGGATGGTGGGGATTTTCTCAGACTTACAGGTTCCTCATCCAGTGGTTGGAAGACTGTTGAGGAGCCCCTGTCAGCTCCATAGGGATGGCCCACAGAATAAAATGTCCTTCAGGCAGTTAACAAGCTGCTGTGGGTCTTCCTGACAAGTGAGGTCCCTGGTGGGGATCCCATTACATCATAAGACCATAAGAAATAGAAACAGGAGCGTAGGCCATTTGGCCCCTCAGATCTGTTCCAACAATTAATAGGATCGTGGCTGATCCGATATGCCTCACATCCACTTTCCTGCATTTTCCTCATAATCTTTGATTCCCTGACTGATCAAGATATCTACCTCAGTTTTAAATATACACCAGCACACTGTCCCCACAGTTCTATGCGGCAAGAAGTTTTAAAGATTCACAACCCTCTGAGAAAGAAATTCATCCTCATCTCAATCTTAAACTGCCCTCCCTTTTTTCTGAGACTATGCCCTCTGGTCCTGGAATCTCCCATGAGGGGAAACATCTTCTCTGCATTTACCCTGTCAAGTCCTTTAAGAATCCTGTATGTTTCAAAGACATCACATCTCAATCTTCCAAACTCCCAACTTGCTTAGCCTTTGAGCATAAGATAATCTGATCCCTGGGGGGAAGATTCTAGAGATCCATTAAGACTTGCTGACTAATTAGCTTCTTAGCAGTGAGCCACGCAGCAGCTACTTGCTGGTGGCCCCAGACCAACCCAGAGGCAAGGATCACAGAGGGATCCCAGGCCACAGGTGAGCGAAGACCGGATGGCGGTGATAAAAGAGGAAGCAGGAAGGTCAAAGGCAAGGGTGGGAGACAGCTATCAATGGCCAGTCATCTGCCCAATTTTGGGTTCTTCATTTGGGCACTGACTACCCGATGGCAAGGTATCCCCTGTGCAGGATACGAATGGCAACTGCTGGGTGGCCTACCAAGGTCACGAGAGATCAATGCAGCCTCCATTTAATCCCTGAGCCACTATTAGATAGTTCAGGATTAATGAGTGTCAATTGGCTCAGAAATAAGCCTAATCAAAATCCTGCCAGAGGCTCCTGAGAATTGGAGGCGGCTTACCTATAGAATTATACATTAGAATCACAGATTCCCTACTGTGCAGAAAGAGGTCATTGAGCCCAGGTACAGAGATTTATATGGCATCTCTCCCATGATTGGGTGGGTACAGCTACCAGAATTCCCATGGTGGTGGACTGCATTAAATCCATTTCAAAGTGTGGGTGGAGCCTAGTGGATGGTAAAACCACAGGCATGGATATGTTGAGCCAAACGGATTTTCTAAGTCCTGTACACACTTTTGAAGGTGCTGAGATTTTCAATTCACATGATTTCTCTTACTTTGTCACAACTAAACTCTGATTAACATCCACAACCATCCTTAAAGATGATAAAGATTGCCTAACCAATCCAAGGATTTTCTCAAGCATTCAAAACAGTTAAACACTACTACGATAAATGTGTACACACTCAAAGTTTAAGCAGTATTCAGTGGGATCATGCATGTCCATTGATTGACAATTAGCAGTCCTGAGGAATATTAGTTAGCATAATTTATCAAAGTCATATAAGAGCCATGATTCAATAAAGTATCAACAAATGTTCAGTCATACTTAAAAGAAGCATTTTAAAAGAAAAAGAAATAAATTCATTAGTAATATTCCAGATTTTATAGTCAGTGTGAAGTATAGTCAGTGTGAAGTACAGTCAGTGGAGAACAGCATTCATTACGTTTACCACTATCCGCAGATTTTCTGAGAACTCTTTCACTGTGACTTGCAGTTAATGCAGAGCTTAAACAGGGGAGCAGAGGCCTGTGAGAAAAAGCAAGCAACAATGTGTCCCTAAAGCTAATTTGATTGAAGATGCTTACTTAGATATGCAGAGTCTAATCCAGGAGGTGTAAACTGAAATTTCAATTTCAGGTCAAGAAAGTAAATGAAGAGAGTGAAAGAAAGATGGGACTAAGAGAGAGGTGAAAGAACCAGAATGAAAGAGACAGAAACAGAGTTAAATTAAACCATTTTATTTGTTTCATTTTTGAAAATCTCCAACAACGACGAAACCTTTGGGAATGAGAATCCACACTTGTAAAGCTGAATGTTCAGTGCTAGAAAGTGTTTACAATTAAGGCATATTATATATTTTTAAAGCGCCATTTCCCCTTGTAAGAACAAGCCCCAATTTTTTTGGCATGTTTAGTGGGTGTACAGTGAGTAAGCATTGCTGTCTCATACCCTTCATTTGTTTGAGTACTGAGATTTTCAAAGTGATCCTGTTAGAATCGTACTTTTGGAGGAATATGGAACCATAGACAGCAACTTCCTGAACTCTGCATTGAACTGCACATGTGCACATGACGGAGGGCAGTCTCTGATTTCCTCCCTAACAATGGTAATGCCGATAGTCTTGTTGCTATTCTTACTACAAAACCAGGTCAATGAAACATTCCCAGCAACAGAATTCAGGATGTCTGCAGTCTCAAACTTGAGAGCTTTATTAAAACAGATGTAGGATCTGTAATAGATCTTGCCATCAGAAAATCTGATGAGAAATACAGGAATTCAACAACAAAGACAGATCGCAACTTATACACTTAAAATGGGTTATATTTATAGACTTGCATATTTTAAAATTCACTATGAGTGATACCTTAGCATATATAAACTTCATAATAGTCAATCTCAGCATTGATCATCACACCAAATGATCCAGTTTATCATCAACAGTTTCACACATGTAACAAACAAGCTCCATTGTTTCACAGAGCCTGAAATTTGCAAGCAATTACAACCTCCATACTTTTCATGTACATACAGTTGCCTGTTGAAAATAATAGCAAAAAGCAACATGAAGGTTAAGGGGTGTATACCAGAAGCTGCTGAATCCAAACTAGCTTTAGGAACTACACAAGAGATAAACAAATTGTATTCAATTAACTCAATAAGTCTTTACCTCTGTAGGAAATATTTAGGAGAACCTACTGTAAGGCAGTCAAATAGAGCACATCTTATTGATGTAGGAAGGAGGTTGAAGTAAAATAATAACCTTTTGTTTTGATTGAGAAAAATGTGAAATAATATTAAATATCTTTGTGGTGGTGAAGTGGTAATCCAGAATCTCAATGTTCTGTGGACACTGGTTCAAATCCTGCCATGGCAGATGACAGAAATTAAACTCAATAAAAATCTGGAATTAAAAAGATTGTCTAATAGCAACTATGTAACCACTGCCTTTTGTTGTAAAAACCCATCTGGTTCACTAATGTCCTTTAGGTAAGGGAATCTGCTGGCCTGGCCTTTATGTGGCTCCAGACTGACACAATGTGATTGAATCTTAACTGCTCTCAGTACAATTAAGGATGGGTGATGCCCAAGTGGCATGATTGTATAAAAAGTAACTGATGTCAAGTCTTCATTCACCATCCCAGTATTCACATTATATTTAGCTTTCTGATGCAAACACACACTAAAAAAAAATTAACAGTGGATACCCAAGAGATATCTCTATTAAAATAACTTCAGTTACCTTCTCTGCAGATTTAGAGCTTTCAGCAATTTGGAACGCAGGTGAAGAGGAGCTGAATTTGAAAGAGCCAGATTGTTTGTAGCTGGTGTTCTTCTTTTTGATTGGATCTGGAGGTTTCACTCCCAAAGATACTGAATCCATCACATTCACAAACGTAGATGATGTGTCATCACATGAAGCAATGATTGCTTTTGCAATATCACCGATCTCATGTCGATCAAGTGTACCTACCAAGGGAGTTAAGAACATTGGCAATATAAACAACAAAGCATTTCCACAGAGACAGCTCACTTTCTTCTTGATGTGAGAACATTTTTTGAGCCATCTGACTGACTATGTTGACGAGCAATGAGCATTCAATAAATAAATAAAACTGTTTATATGTCACTAATATATCTCAAACAATAACTCTGTCTTAAGGTATGAGAATCCACACTTGTAAGGCCTAATTTTAACCTATTCTCATATTACGCCAGTTGATTATGTTATAAATTATTGCTACAGTCCTACCAGACCACAGGGCTGCTCTTTCATTACAGAGAGATGACTGGTGGTGAGCTTAATCTGAGGGTGACCCTGCCTCAGGTGAGGAGAGAGGTTGAGAAAGAGGATCCTTCATGGTTACCTCTGCCAGTGCAGGAATTGAACCCACACTTTTGGCACGATAGACCTACTGTCAAGCCAACTGAGCTGAACCCACTCTCTACACACACCCCGCCCTGCCATTTATGTTATGGTGTAAGTTAAGTGGGAGATTTTATCAGGCATATGTCCTATGCTGTGTCACGATTATGCGTTCTAATGCTGCAAGCCCCATCTTGCTTTTGTGTGCAGTGGCTTGAGGATCTCCACCGCAATATTTCCTACTGTATCCAAACCTAGCATATAACAGTTGTCACACCGCTGCCATTTCAGGCTCCATTTCTGACCAAGAAAATGGATTTATAAGCTGCTCCCATTCTTGTGGCTGCAGCACACCAACTTCTGGATTTCATGTTATTCTGTGCGTATGTGGACTCCCAAGCTTCAGTTTCAGTAGAATAATGACACTGAACACTGACAGGTACCATCACAAAATGCAAAATCTTTCTTTTGCTAAGTTCAGTTACCATCAATTTGTTCTGGAGCAAAATAGCATTGCACTGTTTACAGAGTCATTGAGTCATACAGCATGGAAACCAACCCTTTGATCCAATTCGTCCATGCCAACCATGTTCCCAAACTAAACTAGTACCACTTGATTACATTTGACCCATGCCCCTCCAAATCTTACCTATTCATGTATCCAAACGTCTTTTAAATTTTGTAACTGTACCTGCATCTGCTACTTCCTTTAGCAGTCCATTCCACACACAAACCACTCCCTACGGAAAAAAATTGCCCCTCATGTCCTTTTTAAATCTTTCTCCTCTCACCTTAAAAATAAGCCCCCTAGGTTTGAACTCCCCACCGTAGGGAAAAAGATCTTGCTAGTCACCTTATCTGTGCCCCGCATGATTTCATAAACCTCTATAAGGTTACCCCACAACCTCCTGTGCTCCAGTGAAAAAGTTCCAGCCTGCCCAGCCTCTCTCTAAACTCAAACCCTCCAGTCCCAGCAACATCCTGGTAAATCTTTTCTGAACCCTCTCCAATTTAATAATATCCTTCCAAAAGCAAGGCAACCAGAACTATACACAGCACTCCAGAAGAGGCCTCATCGACATCCTGTACAACCTCACATGACGTCCCAACTCCTACATTCAAAAGTCTGAACAATGAAGGCAAGCATGCTAAATACCTACTTAACCACTCTGTCCACCTGTAATGCAAATTTCAAAGAATTAAGTACCTGAATCCCTAAGTATCTGTTCTACAACACTACTCAGGGCCCTACCATTAATTGTACAAGTCCTGCCCTTGTTTGTTTTACCAGAATGCAATACCTTGCATTTATCCAAATTAAACGCCATCTGCCACTCCTTAGCCCTTTGATCCAATTAATTGAGATTGTTTTGTAATCTTAGACACCTTCTTCACTCTGCACTAAACCACTAATTTTGGTGTCATCCGCAAAGTTACTAACCATGCCTCCTATATTCTCATCCAAATTGTTTATATAAATGACAAATAAATGTGGACCCAGCACCGAACCCTGTCGAACGCTGCTGGTCACAGGCCTCCGGTCCGAAAAACAATCCTCTCCCCCCGTCCTCTGTCTCCTACTGTCAAGTCAATTTTGCATCCAATTGGCAAGCTCTCCCTCAATCCCATGTAATCTAACTTTACTAATTAGTAGTCGGTGATTTACTCATTAAAGCTGTTAATAAGGTTTGCAGAAACCTGAAAAAAAGGACAACTATTTCTTTACTGAAAATGATTTTTGAGATTGCTTGGTGCAAAATATGATGAACTCTGTCTGTGTCAATTTCCATGTTGCATGTGTCCTCGTAAAGTATTTGCCTTCCTCAGCATCAACATCCTTCATCTTGATGAACACAAACATAAAAAGGGAATTATTAGTACTCTAGTGGAATGTTATCACAGACGTCTTAATGGTCAGCTTAAAAATGCTGGCACATGAGCCCTGGGAACATAGCAGATGCATTAGACAATAATGGACATCATTGTTGGATAGAATGTATACCCTTGTTGGATGTGCATCATTGATGGATTTAAGGAGATCACAATACAAGTGGCAGAGAGTGGAAAGGAAAAGCTGGCAGTGTTATTGCTCAATAAACATCTTCTAAGATACATTCCTAAATCTAATAAAAATTTAATGCTCCATTTTATAGTGATGCTCCATTTCAGTGTTATATTCTTCTGGCACCCCACCAGAAAAAAAACCTTCTGTTATTTATAGTTCAACAGCCCTGTAAACAGTTCACTACCCAGAGTCAAATAATTGAGCTGTAATGTTACATACACCGGCTCTGGTCATGAGAGATAAATGTTTAACATTATTGTCTGATCACTTATGTCCTTAATGTGCTTAACAGGTATGGTCACTTTGCAACCTGCATATTTCTTCTTCCATTGACTAATCTCAACTTTGCACTCCTTGCAACTTGGAAAGAACTTTGCAGTTTGTTTTACCTTGACACCATTTGGCTGTGTCAAAAGGCAATCCGATCGCTGAGCATCACAAATGAGCCACTTTGCCCACTCATGGAGTACAAATGGCAGATGTCATAGTAATATTGTAGACTGCACTGGTCAGTTCACAACTGTGGAATTATGTCCATTTCTGGTCACTGAGGCACAAAAAACCCCTTCAAGCTTTAAATGGGGACATGGAAACAAATCCTAGATTAAAGGACTGAATTATGAGCAAATATTGCAGCCGAAACAGTCACCAATGATGTTTAAAATGACGTTAACTGACTGATTTGGAGAATGAAGGTATTTTTCTATGAATAGACTTGGCCTCTATATTCCTTAGAATTCAGAGGAATGAGACAAGAAAGATATAAAATTCTTAAAGGACTAGGTAGATTAAATGTTGGGAGGATAATCCTTCCAGCTGCGGAGTCTGGAAATAAAGGTCACAGTCTCAGGATAATGAGTTGTACATTTAGGATTAAGGTGAGGACAATTTTCTTAGCTCAAAGAGTAGGAGATCCTTGGAATTCTCTACTCCAGAGTGTTGTGGATTCTCAGCCATTAAGTCTATTCAAGATAGAGATTAATAATATTCTTATATGCAGGGAATTAAGAGATATGGAAAAGTGGAGTTAAACTTTAAGATCAGCCATGATTCTCCCAATGACAGAGCAGATTAGAAATGACCCAGCAGTCTACACCAGCTCCTAGTTCTTACAATATATTCTGTAGATAAATTAATTTCAAACTAAGTCTGAAGTAACCTACACCAAAACAGAATTTACTGTACCGCACTGTTAAAAACACCATTTGAATAAATCAATCAAAAATGATTTTGGTGTAGATTACTTCAGACTTGGATTTGAATTAATTAATCAAAAATGATTGCTTGATTGATTTATTGTTGTCACATGTACGGAGATACAGTGAAAAGTGTTGTTTTGCGCGCTGTACAGGCAGATCGTACTGTACAAAATGCATCAGGGTAACAGAACAGAGTGCAGAATACGCTGTTACAGCCGCAGAGAAGATGCAGAGAGAGAGAGAGATCGGAATTAACATTTGAAAGGTCCATTCAAAGTCTGATAATAGTGGGAAAGAAGCTGTTCTCGAATCTATTCATACATGTATTCAACTTTTATATCCTCTGCCCGAAGCAACCAGAGTTAATATAACAACAGGAAATTAGAGGTAATAACTACTCTTTCAAAAAAACTCAAAATAATATTAAAAAAATTTAACATAATTCCTGATTCATTTATTCTAACACTTCTTTGAATTCCAACCACCTAGCAGTGGAAATATATTTCCATAAGATATTCTGCTTAGCCTGACTTCGAAAATGACTTATTTAACAAACCTCCAGCGCTAAATGTGAAATTGAAATATCAAAATTTTACTACTTTTGTAAACTAGGCACAATAGGAAAAAGAAATAAGTCAGCTGTAATTTAATTGTTTTCACCGATATCATAAAACACTGAATCACAGAAATCAAATTCTGGGAAATATCCCAAACTGTAGGCCTGTCTGTTCATTTTTCAGATGCCGGTGGATTTGTCATCAGTTTCCCGTTTCTATTTGGTTTTTGTCAAGTATTTTTGGTTACTGCCAAATGAACAGTGTCGAGGATTCACCAATGGTAAAAAACTTGGAAGGAAAGTCTTGGCCAAAATTGATAATTGGAAGTTGCAGCCCTCTTATAATTCAGCCCTGATGCTTTTTGAAATATACATTTTCAAAATGGTTTCTAAGCATACAAATATACATTTTAATCCATGCAATGAAAATAAATGTACAAAACTATTGATCAGAACAATGCAACACAATCAGTATTTATAACTTTATTAAATTAATTTAACTTTGGTAATTTTGAATGCATCTCCCAGAAGATTCATTCAGGCTGTCCATGTTCTTAAACTGTCGAGCTGAAGAATGATCAACCAGGTAGAAATTGACTTAAGGAAGGTCTACACCACAAGGTGAGACATTAGTCCAGTCACAAACTGGCTAAAGTCTGTACTTGGCAAGCCATGACTTGGATTTTATGGTCAGTAGCAAATGGGAAACACTGGCCCATCATTGCAAGTTTCCCAGCTTGTAAAATATCTGTGATATTTTGTACTGCGATTTGAGGCCATCAG